TAACAATATTGTTTATTTTATAATAGTCGTTATTTCTTATTATATCTTCTGATTAATCATATTCTATATTAAATTTTATTTAAAAGTAGAATTAAAAAATGAAATATTGCAAATCTTAAAACAATCATTTTCTGATCTTTGATAAAGAAATTTTTTGCGTTGTATCATTAACATTTCTGAATATCTGTAAGACATCATTATTCACAAAGCAATTAACTGTTATTGACGTACATTAATATAGTTACATTAGGAAAATTTAACAAATTTTGAAATTCCAATGTTCAACCGAACTGTGTTAATTACATAACTCTGCACACTTGCTTCTGGAGTAACAACGGTGTACCAAAGAATAAGACAAACGGAACTGCGGTCGAAAGGGTTGAGCCCAAGGGTCGCGAGCCGCGAGGTTAAACATCGCTCAAACTACCGCGTACAATACCGACAAGGAGGTTGTTGGAGATTTACGTCACGGAGAAGCTTTGCGACGAATGATTATATACGCGGGACACATCACAAGAAAATCTCTAAGATCTATAACGGCGAAGCGTAATGATATAATTAAATATTCAATAATATACTTTCTTTCATTATCATTATCATTATCATTATCATTATTCTTATGTTTTATATATTATATATATATATATATATATATATAATGGTTACATTATTGTTATTATATATAATATATATTATATATAATGATTAGATTATTATATTAGGCTACATATATAATGATTTAATCAGAGAAATCTTTTGTATCACTTTTTATGCAACCATTTTTTTTGTTTTTCATTTCTAATATTGGAATTAATAATAATTATTTAAATATTATAAAACTGTTAGGCAAATGCAATAATGTTTTCAACGATTGAAAGTATAAACATTTGTTGTATGTATGATGATAGAAAAAATTTCTATAACATCAACAATATGATGTATAAATGATATCATTGAATTCAAGATTGTACAATGTATACTGCCGAAATAAATCAAGCGTTTTTATCTTTAAATAGATTCATGTTATAGATGCAAAGAATTTTCAATTTGTAGTTTCCTCTCGGCTTTTTCTAATAAAAAAACTTTAGTTTAATTACAATTTACTTAATAATTCAGCATGACATGTGTAAGAGAGATATGTACGAATGTATCATATTAGTCAAAAAGTACGAAATGTGACAAAATGTATATACAACTTGAATGATATATACGTCAATTCTTTCATCACCCATAGACATCCGAAATGCACTGCGGGAGATTGAAAAATGATTTCCTAGCAACGATGTAGCACGAGTTACGCCACTGTGCGTAGAGTGGCGAAAGAGAGGAAGAGAGGAAGAGAGTAGAGAGGGTGGCTAACAATGGCCGCCAACCAAAACATCCGATAAATCTAACCGGCCCGGACCTCAAGCCCCGAGGGGTTTTAAACTCTCTCACCCCAAACGCCGACGCGGGCGCAACCCTTACATTACGTTACACACTCACGGAAAAGGGAGCCATGCCGTGTGGTATTGCAGAGCGATACTGGGGGGTGGCAAAGGGGTGGTAGCGGGTGGTGTACAGTACGGTGGTTCTATGCGATGGAGACGGGAGGAGAGAAGAGAGGGACGTGATGTGCGACCCATGAAAAACCAAACCGAGAGAATTCCACCCGTTCTCCTCCTCTTTCACCTCCGTTTCTCTAGCATCCACCCCGTTCCACCCCATCTCGGCTAACCTCCTTCTACCAGTAAACGTAACGAGATCTACCGCGCGCGGGCGGTCGTGTACTGGCTCTGACGAAATTTCGACGAATTTGTTTTGTTACCGCATCCTAATTCGTTTTGCCCCCTCCCCTCTTATTCAAAGCTGCGGTCGAAATTCCGGCTCAACAAACGCGCGCTCGAAAATTACGGGAAATCGTACCTTACTCGTGCAAGAAGACTTGAAATAATTATCAGAAACAGAATTGCGCTGTTTCTGTTTAAAATAAACTTTTATTTTTCATTTATATTAATATCATCAAATATCAAATATCAAATATTAACTTTCTCTTTAATAATAGCAGAAACATGAGCTATTGAAGCGAGAACGAAAGAAATAAGTTGGAATATTCTTCAAGAAACGACGACCTACTAACGTAGACCTTGTGAACAATCGAAAAGAATCGCTACGCCTTAAGATACGCCACATAAAAAAAGGTTTTTATTCGAAATAACACAGACGACATTGGGAGATGCTTTTGTTTCCGTGCTCGTAACAGATGAGCAAGACGGAAATATGCAGTCGGGGGAAAATGAGAGGCACGCTAATGTCGACGCAGAAACTCGTCTCTCGCCGCATCTCGTATCGTTTCGTGCAACGTATCGAGAGTTAAACGACGCCTGTGGAATCTCGGGATTCCTCGACAGTCGTACATAATCAAGCGCGTCTCGCGTCTACGATATTCTGTAAGCCGAGCTGAGTGGCAAACCGCGTTTCCGCGTTGAAGAATGTCGATAGCTTTCAACTACGCACTTAAATGCGTGCGAGTTTGACGTGCTATTTGCTTGAAAAATATTAAACCGAGGTAATTGATAGTTAAAAATACAAAAGAGGAGACTGCAATGGAAAGAATGAGTGAAGCAGATCGATTTTTCAGTACCGTAATAATATTTACTTCCCCAAATGAAAAACAGCAAAAGGATTATTTTAAAGACGAGGATACCATCGAGTGCATCCATCGCGGTTTCGATGTTTTGTATCGATGTAACAGTGGCATAAATCGTGTCTAATTCAATTTGGATATAATCCCTGGCACGCGAAATTAAACAAATTTCACATTATGCAATCGTAATGGAATATTTTCACACGTATCGGAACTAACTCGATGCTCCTGTGAACACACGGAAAAAAGGATCGACGGGAGACTGCGCGAAACGAAGGTGGAAACGAAGGAAGAAAAAGAAAAACCCTTTCTCCGGAGCAGAGCGGAGCGGTCGAGCTCAAGTCCGCCCCACCTTTTCTTTACGGATCGGCTCGAGAGAGGAGCAGCGTCCGCGCGACCGCGCGACCGCTTACTCACTCCGTAGGCAAAAGGAAGAGGAGAACGAGGAGAACGAGGAGAACGAGGAGAACGAGGAGAACGAGGAGAACGAGGAGAACGAGGAGAACGAGAGAGGCCAGAAAGAGGGACAGACAGGTCGGCCCGAGAGAGGAACCCACGGCTGCCATGGTTACCGTCGCATTCCCGCCTCGCCTCGTTGCCATGGAGATGGCGGCACCCTTTCCCTCTCCTCTCCTCTCCTCTCCTCTCCTCTCCTCTCCTCCTTTTCATTCTCTCGTTCTCTCTGCTCCGCTCGCATGCCGACCGACACTCTCACACTCGCGAAATTCCGTCCTCCTTGCTCTCGGGCGCCAATCTTCTCTCCGACGACAAGGGGCGACTCACTCTCTCGCGCTCACTTCGTCCTTCCTTCGTAGAGGATACCACTGCCCCACGGAGAGAGGGAAGTCGAAAGAGAGGAACAGACGGAGGAGACAGCCCGCGAACGCATACGCATGCGTGATATTTGGTCCTTCGCAATATTGAGGCTTGATGCATCTTCGGAATGATTCGATCACTTATCAAACGCGAGTCACTTGCAACCTCATAATATACTCCTGCACGATGCTTATCTTTGAAATTTGAGAGGATCTTGATCCTCTCGAAGAAGGTCGATTGCACAGGAATGTCACAGGATCGTGCACGCGTATAAACAAGGAAAATATAATATCGAGCAACTTTTTTCATAAAAAAAAAAAGCTTTTAATTTAATCATTTTTTTTTTGTTAATCTATTTGTTTCAAAGATATCGAGAACTTCAATTTATATTTTATATATATTCAATGCCAACGATTGGTAAGATCGTGATATTGTGAGTTGCATTCTTTTTTCGAGTTTAATTTAGGAACAATTTCCAGTGAGCTTTCTATAATTTTTTTCTAGTGTACATAGTGCAATGTTCACTAATCACTGCCAAGCTAAATCATTCGCGCTCAAAACGAATGAGATGTAAGCGCTCTGTTTCGTAAATCGTAATTCTGATTGCTCGTCGCGTCACTCGATATCAATATTTATTCAGCACACAGCGTAGCGAATGCCCGAGGCCGATTAAAACTTGTTTATGCGGCCAACAATTCGCTCCTCCCCCTGCACAAAGTGTACACATAAAACGGCGCAATTCTTTTCTTCGTTTTATTCACGGCATGCACAGTTAAAAATGACCGAAGATTAATTTGGACAAATAAAAATGGATTTATGCTCAGCAATGTCATTAAGTACAACTTTATATTTTGCATTACACGCTTGAAAAATATAATTAAAAATATTGGTAGTTGAAAACATAAATTGCTTCTTAAAAATTGCAGAGAGTTATGCAATCTTTGCAAAAGACAATTAATTTTTTTAATTACCTCATTTGTATTATTTATTTGTTTATTTAACTAGCGCTTTACCATTAATTTCTGCGCATAATCTGATAAAAAGAAAGGCACAACAATCGTACAGATAAAATGTGCAAAGAATAAAATGCATAAGTAAACATAGAAAAAAATTATAGAAGAAAATCTTCTATAGACAGCGAGATCTCAAAAGTCTTGTAAATATATAAATGTGTCAAAGAAATATTAATACATGTAAATTAAATAATTGTAATTATTCAGATAACTATTATGCGCAGAAAATTATTAAATGTTAGGACGTATACTAATAGAAGCTTTTCTCAAAGGTCGTTAAATTATTTAGCGGAATTATTTATGTGTCGCGGATGACTAACGAGGTATCATTTTAATACTTAGAAATATGCACTGTGTATCTAAAACATTTTTACAAAATTCCTACACAGTAGGATTGACTGCAGGATGAAATAATTGAAACTAATATGACGAATCTTTGTTATTTCAATTTCATAGAAAAATAGAAACCTTATTAAAGAACATAAAAGTAATTCTAAATACGCAAAATGTAAAATTTTCAGATTTGTGTAAAGAACTCGACTTACCGGGACTGCCGAGGAAGACCGAGGAATAAAGGACACCACGACGCGCGTCGGTCGCCGCGCGTTGCGCGTCAGGAGGCGAACTCCATTCCCTACGAGGACACCATTTGCCTGAAACATTATTTTTTTTTTCATTAAAATTATTAGCATATAATTATAAAAAAAAACTTGGTTTTACAATGTATAATTTGCTAATCTATCTATTTACGCTTTAAAAAACATATTTGTAAGAGGCATAACCGTGTTAAAAATAGATGTCATGAATTTTGCACTTTTAGCAAAAAAAGAATAAACGTGCGATATGGAAAGAGAAAAAGTATATACGTGTATAAATTTTCATTCACAAATCAGATAACACTGTTGGCACGTCTTAAATAAATTAAAATAAAAAAAATTGGCGTGAACCAACGTATGGAATTAGAAAAAGAAACTCTTCAATGGATTTGTTTCGATAAAAGATAAAATATCATCAGTTACGACGTCGCAATTAAAATATAGTAAAAAAATCGTGCTGATAATACGAAATAGCCTGTTCTCGTGTAAAAATAGATGTTTTCATATCGATTCTCGCACGAAAACGTTATTATGCCAGCGTCATGAAAAAAAAGTGTGCAGAAGGGGTATACGAAGGAAGCAAAAGATTCGTGATCGTTGGCGTCACGACTTCGACCAAAGAGATTCTATCATACTGTGTTCTATATGTATGCTGTTATAATATTTTCATTCTTTTTTTCACCAGGTAGCATGCGACGTTATCCCTGCGATTTACTTTGCCAAAATAAGGATAATCCTACAATTATATATACGTATGTGTGTGCACATATATATATATATATGCGCTGATTATAATTACTTACGAGTGTGAAAAAGCATTTACGTTAGACTATAACCCGATATTCACTCGACGTTTACATATTACATCTGGTGTAATATTAACCAACGCCACTACGTGAAACGATGAAACGCGAAAAAAATATCATCTATAAAAGTATTATCTGTAAAAGCTCCGAAATAAAATTAACAAAAAAAAATTTATCTTTTATTTCTTCCTTACGTGCGGCTACACAAATTTGGAGAATTTTCTATCTTCCAACTGATTTATCAAGCGGAGAGCACCACTCGCGACTGCAGTATTGCAATTTTCCAGATGCGAAAATAGGAAAGGTATCTACTTTATTTCCAGGGAGATCCCGGCTGAATGAGGATACACGGTAAGAAAGGGTGGCGCCGGGGGATAAGAGTAAGCCGCGGAGCGAAGTAATTTCACACGAGAGAGTAGGGTCTTGCTGGGTGAGAGGAGATCCCGCGGAGCTATAGTCTTATCTCGGAAATATAGCGGGCACATCCCCCTGCGAAAATTATATTCTTGGAAAGCAGAAAATTGCTTCGCTTCAGCCCGTTCTGCACGAGCGTGCAGTCCACCGATATTAAGTTCTTGTAACGTTTTTGCATGCAATCAACTGTTATCATAGATACCGAGATTAATTTCAAATAATATGCGAGATCGAATAATAGCGTTCCTTTGTAGATTCACTGTCGATTAACTTTGAATATCATTTTGAAACTCTCGTTCATTTGAATTAATGGATTTAAAGACGAATCCAAATATATTGATTATAGTGCGCGTTTAACTCTAGATTTTACGGTCACGGCACGACCCGTCAGTTTCTGATTAATCGAAATGACAGGGCTGTGAGGGTGATTCGAAAATAATGATTATTCCGACACTAGTATACGGACAACCGTTAATAACAAGAGATCAACGTTCTTGACCTTCGAGCAAATCTATCGAGCTTTCCTTTATTAACATTTTCGGCAAATTAAAGGAATAATGAATAAGACGCAATGATGTACAAAACATAATACACACAAATATTCAAAACGCATTATCGATTCGACATGGGATATCTCATTGCAAAAGATCCCACGTCTTTCCACGCCGCGGATAAGTGAATAAACAATATATCAGGATTATTCAAAGTCATTTGCTCGCGTTGCCGACCCATTACGCACCGCCAGGCTATACGTCACAGCCATTTCGAAGTCCTCGGAGGCACAGGTCCTTTGGATACCTGTAGAATCCTAGGCTGGAGGTGGGGCGGATAGATGGAGATTTATAGCCGTTAGGAGACAGGGTGTAATCATACACATCGCCCCATCAACTCTGTAACTGTGATTTACCGTGGGAATTCTAAAAAGTTCTAGAGTTTCTACCATATTTTGACCCAAATTCTCTGAATCCCGGTATACATAGCTATGATACTGTCGTATGTCAAATCTAGGTACCATTCACGAACGTATATAGTTACGAAACCGTACTAAAATCGTACTGTTTTCAGACGAATGAATAAAGGAAATTTTACAAAGAATCTCTCTTAATAAAATGGAGGTAATGGAGTTTAAAGCAACACGAATTAAATTATGACTTCTAACTTGAATGTTGTCAAAGTCGACTTTATGTCCGTATATAATTGTCGCATCTGACAGTGCAAAACGTTTCTTTAGAAGAAAGATTCGTTAAGTGGCATCGAGTGAGACGTCTCCTTTGAATGATCACCGTAGCTAAATTGCGGGTTAACTTTGGTCTAACGGGTTCGCGTGTTCGCGACAGTCATGCCACAGGGCCGAGTCATGTATCGGGCAAAGCCCTGGAGGAGTGAGTACGATCGGTGGGAGGTGGATGGACCATAATACGACGACCACGTCATCTTCGCTTGAAACTGAATTCATATAGCCACGCGCGACGCGAACTCCCGCTATGGCTTTATTTTTGCACCCAGCAGCTGACGGTTATAAATTGGAATGTAACAGTCGGACACGCGACGGACGCCGTTTGTTTCTTCCTTGCGTCGACAATGATCTTTCCATGACTAATTTGTTTCGACAAAGGTAAGTTCTCCTTGAGCCACGCGTGTATCTTATTATATATATATGTCTTTTCGACAGTCATTTCAAATTCGTGCAATGCATCATACAGACACCCGGAAGTCCTCGCTGAATTTAAACGCTATTTTTAAAAAATGTCAACTGTTACATGATTTTGCGCAATCATCGATCCGAGTCATCCATCATTGAGAGAGAGAGAGAGAGAGAGAGAGAGAATCTTCAATGTTGGTATCCGGCTTTTCTACTCGTAGAGACTTGTAGCGGATGTTATAGATAGAGAGAATATAGGTACGTACCCAATAACCCCATCACGTCGGGGATGCTTTCTCGGTATAAATAAATCAATATAACTCGCTTCCACCCTTAGACGCCGCCCTCTTTCGCCGTAAGGAAGTGACGTATGAGGCTCGCATCTTCAAGGCGAGGGTTGAAGAGGCCACCCTGTTATTTCACAGTTAGGCTCGTCCCTCTCGCTCCCCTCAAGCTACCTCAACTCAACCATCTTTCTCGTCGTCTTCCACCATCCAGACCGACCTGTGCGTCCCTAGTGCCGCTTCCAAACGCGCACGAGTCCCTCGGGAAGCTTTTGTCCTCGAGCTGTAAGCGACTTCCTGACAGGCCAAGTTTGCACCTGCTCTCCTTTTGACTCGTCGTTTGGAATTTCTCTCTCTCTCTCTCTCTCTCTCTTCTTCTATCCATCCTCGACATCTCGCTTTCGCTCGTTGTTTCGCACTTTACTCTCCCTTTCTCTCTCGTTTCGTCCTCTTTGCGAACTCTGCCTAACCTTACATCACCCCACGCCACCAACACACCATCCACCACCCACCGATGTTACTGGCGCGTAATTTATTCGGGATGAGAGTATCCTTTCTCTTCGGCCGAGGGTAATCCGTAGATCAGCGCGCTGGATAAACCGGGCGTGTCGTTATATACGTCCGTCGAAATTATTTTCGAATAATCCTCGCCGTCGACACTTCGAACTCACTCATCTTAATTAAAATTATCCTCATCTAGTGGCTCAAATGGTATAGTGGTGAATCGGATGTTTACGCGATTTATGGTAAAACCAACTCGTTGAGTCAAGTAATAAGATTTGAATGACAGTTTCCTGAATAGATTTTTGTGAACAGATGCATGGAGATTATTCGAAAATTTAACGCGTGATTTATTAAATCGTAAAATTCAATAATCTGCATTTTTTTCAACATCGATGCTTTTAAGATATTTTAAAATATTTGTGTAAATTTCTGCAAACGAATATATGAGCAAAGTGAATCGAAATAAAAATACAAAAAAATTGCCCTCTTTCTTTATTAAAATCTATTTGTGCAGAATAAACGTATAGCATTTCAAGGTTGTCGGTCGGCACCGTGACGTCATTCCTATTTTCCATTTGTGAGCAGAAACACCGTCTTTCTTCGGTAAGTAGAGGGCGACGGGTGGAGGTCTGCGTTCGCAGATGTCGGAGATGCCGAGTGATTAATGACGCCCGATAGACGTAATTTGTTGCGGCTTGCAAACTCGCCGTCTCTCGGTGCGTCTTTCAAATTCAAATTATTGATAAACAGGATGCTGTTTGTAACAGTCGGTACGGGATGATGTCGGACAAACCGGACGACTTAACTAAGCGCAAACGATATACTAATTAATTTTATACAACATATTATACAACGACTTTTTTTAAACGTACAGATCATTTTTCTTCGTCTAGCAGAAAGAGAAAATTCTAACTTTATGTACATGCGATAGCGCAGCAACTAGAAACTGTATTATTAAAAATTATATTACTATCGTATCAAATCATGTGCAGATATTGAACAAAATGATAATTCGACTTGACTTGATCGCAACGCGTGTAATTGCTCAAGATTTTACAGATAATAATATGATACATTCTCGTTTATTCATGTGCGAATTCGCCAGCACGATTATCACAAGAGCGCAGAAAAGTATGTACAAAGACGTGTAGACTAATACGATCGGATTGAAACACTGCATGACCGTATCGACCGCACATTATCTAACTCGAGAGAAGAAGGTTAATTCTTATAAGCTGAAATAAAGATAGTGAAGCGATACGGTACTCGCTTTAATGGTCGTGCAGCTAAGTGTATATACGAGTGGATTTCCCCGTCGCGCGATCGCGAACGACGCCATCGCATTTTGCAGCGTACGGATGTGCGATTATCATTAAACGCGTAATGGCAAGAAATAGCATAATGGAA